CAGCAGCATCTGCTGCCAGTCGCTGCGTCTCTGCCAAGCAACGCTGTTGCATGCTTTCTAGGGCTTCCTGGTGCTGCTGCTGCTGCTCTGCTGCTGCTGCTGCTGCTTCCTGCAGCCGCTTTAAGGCCCGCTGCTTCAGCGTTATCTCCCGTTCCCAGAGCTGTCGCAGCTCTGTTTGCTGCTGCTGCTGCTGCTGTAGCAGTGTTTGCTGCTGCTTCAATTTCTCACGCACTTCTTGGACTTCCTTCTGGTGCTGCTGCTGCTGCTTCTGCTGTTGCTGCTCCCAGTGTGCGACCTGCTGCTGCAGCTGCAAGTTGCTGCGGCGCAGCCCCTCCGCCTCCTCGGTTTGCTGCTGCAGCCGCTGCCGCGCCTCTCTAAGAGCTGCTTCCAGCTGCTGCTGCTGCTGTTGCTGCTCTGCTGCTGCTGCAGCAAACCGTCGGTAGTTGTCGTCAAAGTCCTGCTGCAGTGCGGTGTACGCACGCTCCAGCCGCTGCTGCTGCAGGGCGAAGCATGAACGTTGTTGCTGCTGCAGCGCCTCCGTCTGCTGCTGCTGCTGCTGAAGCCGAAGCTCACATTGCTGCTGCTGTTGCTGCAGCAGCAGTAGCAGCTCGTGGTGCTCTGCAGCACCCCAAGACACCAGGCTAGAGAGTTCATCGGCCCGCTGCTGCAGTGCTGTCAGAAAGCTGATATTCGCTGCAGGCCCTGCAGCAGCAACCGCTGCTGCTGCTGCTGCTGCTGCTGTACGAGGAACATTCAGAGAGATTTCTGCTGCTGCTCCACCATCTACATACGGCAGGTGCTTCCCCTGCAACACCTGCTGCTGCTGCTGCTGCTGCTGCTGCTGCTGCTGTGGTTCCAATGCCTTCTCACCTCCGAACGCGAGCGAACTGCCACAGCAGCAGCAGCAGGTGCTGCTGCTGCTGCTGCTGCGATGCTGCGGTAAGCTGTGACATTCCGAGGTGCCGCAGCAGCAGGCCGCAGCCTGCCGCTCCAGGTGCGGCTGCATCTGCATCTGCATCTGCTGTTGGTGGTGGTGCTGCTGCTGCGCTGCTGCCGCTGCTGCCGATGCAGCACAACGCTGGCACCTCCCTCCCTGGCCCGAGTAAGTAGTATTGCCTACTGGTTGTTAGCTATGGACCCTAAACCCTAAACCCTAAACCCTAAACCCCGGACTCGCTGAGCCCTAACATTTGCTGCTGCGGGCCCTTACACGAACTGCTGCTGCTCCAGGAGGTCTTCCACATGGTGCAGAGGGGGAAGCTTGAGTGCTTCAGCAAGTGCTGCTGCTGCTGCTGCTGCTGCTGCTGCCGACTCAGTTGCTGCTGCAGCTGCTGCCGACGCAGTTGCTGCTGCTGCTGCTGCCAGACAATTGAGCTACAGGAGAGCCTCAGTGCTTAGCAGCAGCAGCAAAACAACTCTTTTACCTCAAAAGAAATAAGTGAGAGGCTGAGCCATGGCTGTGTGCTGCAGGCAATGAAGGTCACCCCGTGTAGCAGCCTCTGCGTTGCTGCTGCTGCTGCAGTTGCTGCTGCTGCTGCTGCTGCTGCTGCTGTGTCTGCTGCTGCCAAGGATAAAGCCATAGGGCAGCGAAAACAATTACATCTCTAAATTTAAATAACGCTCTAGATCCTGCACATCACATCGTTATGGAAGGCAACGGCGTGCAGCAGTTGCTGCTGCTGCCTGGGGCACGCTGCAGCAGCAGCAGCAGCAGCAGCAGCAAACTCGGAAGCCGTCTGCTGCATGCGCCCGTTTAGCATAGTGCTGTAACTTGCTTGGCTATTAGGGTTAATCTGTTCTTCTGTGAGTCCTTATACTTCATCTGTATTTAGAGCAGCAACAACATTCTCGGCCTTGCCTCCTCGTCAGCAGCAGCAGCTGCTGCTGCAGTTGCCGCTGTTGCTGCTGCTGCTGCTGCTGCTGCCGCAGCAAGGAAGGCAGATAACGCGTATTTCGATTTGGTAGAGGCGTTTGGGCTTCAGCTGCTGCTGCTTCCTTCGTCGTAGCAGCAGCAACTGCTGCAGCAGAAGCGCCTCCAACTGCAGCGGCAGCAGCAGGGACAGCCACAGAGGCGGAGGATGAGCAGAAGCAGCAGCAGCAACTCTTGTTGCTGCTGCTGCTGTTGCTGCAACTTGCAACGCATCAGCATTTGAAGCTTATCTCTATTAGCTGCTGCCCGTAGAAGCAACGAGGACCCCACGGGCCGCACCTCAGCTGCTGCTGCGGCAGCAGCAGACCAGCATCGACAGCAGCAGCAGCAGCTTCAGCAGCAGCAGCAGTGGATAGACACTCCAAGGCTGTGCATGCAGATGAATCTCATACCCCAGGGCCGTGAGGCCATGGAGGCCTCAGGTGTGGGGCCCCCCTGTTTTCTGCTGCTGTCACTGCGACCTTCTGCTGCTGCTGCTGCTGCTGTTGCAACTTTTGCTGCTGGAGGCTGACCTGTATGTTGTTGCTGCTGCTGCTGTTACTGCTGCTGCTGCTGCTGTTTTGTGTCGATGTTTTCTTGAAGGCGAACCGTACAAGAAGAGGATGAGGACGGGGAAGGGATGGTATGATGGCTTCTCTAAACCCTAAACCCTAAACCCTAAACCCTCGACCTGATGAGGTGTTTGTGCGTTTGTTGCGGCGCTGGGTTTGTGTGCTGTCTGTTCCTTTGCTTGGATGTGTCTTACTTGCGTTTTTGTTTTTGTTGTTTCTGTTCATTTCAACTGTGTTGCTGCTCTCTCTTGCTGCTGCTGTTGCTGCTGCTGCTGCTGTTTTGTGTTTAGGAAGCGAGCTGGCGGCGGTGCTGAGGGTTTTGCTGCAGCGAGCGCTGCGCGTAAGGGTTTAGGGTTTGGTGGTATGAAGGGTGCAGCAGCAGGGGGAGGGTTTGCGAAGGATGGGGCCCCCGGAGCAGCAGCAGCAGCAACAGCAGCAGGAGGGAAATCCGCAGCAGCAGCAGCAGCAGCAGCACTTCCGGGTGTGGCTGAGGAGCGAACAAGCAGCATGGTGCAGCAGCTAACTCGTCTCCCTCTGACAGCAGACGCTGTACATCTGCAGCAGCGTGGAGCACGTGATTACAGCAGTTTGCTGCTGAAGCAGCAGCACGAAGAGCGGCCTGTGTGGGTGTGCGGAGACGGCTTCTTAATATTAGAGTTGTTTAGAGCTACGAGCAAACAAGCAAACGATTTTCTCGTTACTGTAGCCGAGCCTCTATGCAGAAGCGAACTTATTCACGAGTTCCAGGTAAAGCAAATGCTGCAACTGCTGCTGCTGCTGCTGCTGCTGCTGCTGTTGCTGCTGTTCCTGCTGCTGGTGCTGCTGCTGATACTGCTGCTGCTGTTCCTGCTGTAGGCGCTCTTGGTGTGTTGGTGCTGCTGCTCGTGCTGCTGCTGCTGCTGGGGTTCTTGCTGCTGCTCCTGATGCCGCTCCTGCTGCTGCTGCTGGTTCTGGTTGAACTACGGCTGAACTGTTGCTGCAGAGTTTGCTGCTGCTGCTGCTGCTGCTGTTGCGACTGCCTCTGGCATATTCGCCGCGCTGCTGCATGCGGTGGATTTGATGTTGCTGCTTCTGCTGCTGCTGCTGCTGTTGCTGCTGCAGCTGACGGTGTTTTCTTTGTATGCGGCTATATCTGTTGGGCTTAGTGCTGCTGATCTGCTGTCGAATTTAAACAAACTGAGTAAAAATATAATTCCTGATGAACTCACGCAACAAATACAAAACGTTGCTGCTGCATTCGGCAAGGTATGCTGCTTCCTGCTGCTGCTGCTGCTGCTGTCGGTTCTGCTGCGCCTGCTACTCCTGTTGCTGGTGCCGCCTCTGCTGCTGAATTTAGCGCTGTGTAGCGGGAGCTGCTGCACGTTGCAGCTGCATGTTGCTGCTGCTGCTGCTGCACGTATCGCCGCAGCAATGAACTCTGTATACCCGTGAGGCCTGTCGGAGCGTCCAGGGTTTAGGGTTTAGGGTTTAGGGTTTAGGGTTTGGGGTGGTTTCAGGTGAAGCTGGTGCTAAACGAAAGCTGCTACTTTATTGAATCTTCGAGCAAAAAGGAGTTAGACCACCTGCTCTCTAACCCTAGGATCCGCAGCGCCTCATTGCTGCCGCAGCAGCAGCAGCAGCAGCAGCAGCTTATGCGCTTGATGCAGCAGCCGCAGCAGCAGCAACAACAGCAGCAGCTCGCTGGAAGCAGCGATCTAGGCGCCGAACAGCAGCAGCAGCAGCAGCAACAGCAGCAGCAGCAAATGCAGCAGCAGCAGGAAAATGTGTACTTAACAAGCAGCGCCCCAACCCTAGACGCCTCGCAGCTGGCGTTTGTTCCCTCAGAGCCCGATGCAGCAGCAGCAGATAGCAGCAGCAGCAGCAGCAGCAAAGGTGAACAGCTTGCCGCTCCGGGAGGCATTTCTGCTGACAAGTCATCGCAGCAGCAGCAGCAGCAGCAGCAGAACGGGGGCAAGGCTGCCTCTGAAAGGCAGGTATGTTTATATAGGTTGATTGTCTATGCGTTTCAGCGTTTGGTGCTTTATCAGTCTTCTTGCATGCGCTTAGCTGCTGCTGCTTCCCTTGCTGCTGCTGTTGCTGCTGATGCTGCTGCTGCTGCTGCTACCGCTACTCTTGCTGCTGCTGCTGCTGCGACTGTTGCTGTTGCTGCTACCGCTTCCGTTTCTGCCGGCGCTGCTGCTGCTATAACTCCTGCTGCTGTTGTTGCTGCAACTACTACTCCTACTCCTACTACTCCTACCCCTACTAATGCTGCTGCTGCTGCTGCTGCTGCTGCTGCTGCTGCTGCAGGTATATTCCTTTCAAGTGCGTGCAGACAAAGTCGAAGAGGTGAAGCGGACGTCTATTGAAGTAATGCAGAGGCCGCTGCTGAGTGAATACGACTTCAGAAGAGACTCAAAAAACGCTAAAATAAATTCTTTGCTCCTCAAATCCTCCACCAAAATCAGGTGCTGCTGCTGCTGCTGCTGCTGCTGCTGCTGCTCGTGCTGCTGCTGCTCGTGCTGCTGCTGCTCGTGCTGCTGCTGCTCGTGCTGCTGCTTTTCGTGCTGCTACAGTTGCTGCTGCTGGTCGTGCTGCTACAGTTGCTGCTGCTGCTGCTTAAGCTGCTTCTGTTCCTCGTGCTGCTGCCGTTGCTGCTGCTGTCGCTGTTACAGCTGCTGCTGCACGCTGCCACAGGTGGTGGTAGTGGTGTTGCTGCTGTTGCTGCTATAGTTGCTAGTGCTGCTGCTGCATGCTGTTACTGCTGCTGTTGCAGATGTTGCTGTTGCAGATGCTGCTGTTGCTGCTATAGTTGGTACTGCTTCTGCTGCGTGCTGTTACTGCTGCTGTTGCTGATGGTGCTGCTGCTGCTGCTGGTTCTGCTGCTGCCGCTGCAGTACTGCGCTTTGATGGCTGCGTGGTTGTGTGTTGTACTCTGCGTAATATATATATATATATATATATATTTATATAATATGTATAGAATATATAATATATATATAATATACATATATTATATACATTTATAGGTATATATATGCATCTATATACACATATATACATACATATACTTACCTATACATATACATATACATCTACATACACTATATATATATATACTATCTGTAGAGTTGCGTATAAGGCATGATATGGATGCGCATTATTTGAACACTTCGCAGATATTATCAAGAAAGAGCTTTAAGAAAGATGTTCAGCAACGGTAGAGCGCGAAGCGGCATTATAGTGCTTCCTTGTGGGGCTGGGAAGACTTTAACAGGGATAACAGCTGCATGTACACTGCAGCGCAGCACAGTTGTGTTAACAACATCTGCTGTTGCAGTTGAACAGTGGAAGAGACAGTTTATAGAATACAGCAGCATCAATCCAGATGTGCTGCTGTCTCTAACAGCAGAAGATAAGCAGCAGCTCTGGAGCCCTGATGCAGCAGGCGTCCTTATAAGCACTTATACTATGTTATCTTTTGCTGGGAAGCGAAGTGCAGCAGCAGAAATTATACTGCAGCAAATTAAACAAAGAGAGTGGGGCCTCATCATTTTTGACGAAGTCCAATTCGCACCCGCACCCGCATTCAGAAAAATCAACGATCTCGTCAGGTAAACCCTAAACAATAAACCCTAAACCCTAAACCCTAAAGCACCTATATATATATATATATGCAAATATGTATATATGTATGTATGTGGACACCCTTATATGTCGGGGAGTAATGCATTTGAATAAGCAGTAAAGCAGGTGCATCTGCTGCTGCCGCTGCTACTGCTGCTGTTGCTTATGTTGCCGCTGCTGCTGCTGCTATTGCTGCTGTTACTTATGTTGCTGCTAGTGTTGCTGCTGCTGTTATTTTTGCTGCTGCTACTGCTGTTTCTGTTTCCATTTCTGCTGCTCCCCCTCCTCCTCCTCCAACTCATCAATTCCTCTTGCTGCTGCTGCTGCTGCTGCTGTTGCTGCTGCTGCTGCTGCAGGGCGCACTGCCGTTTAGGTTTGACTGCAACATTAGTGAGGGAAGATGATTTGATAAAAGATTTGCAGTGGATTATCGGCCCTAAACTTTATGAAGCCAACTGGATAGACCTGCAAAACCAAGCAAGCGAAACAATATATTAATACCCACTACTGCTGCTGCTTATGCTGCTGCTGATGCTGCTTAGTCTGCTGCTTAGGCTGCTGCTGATGCTGATGATGATGTTGATGCTGCTGGTGATGCTGGTGTTGGTGATGCTGCTGCTGCTGATGCTGGTGATGCTGCTGCTGATGCAGCTGCTACTCATGTTGATGCTGCTGATGCTCATGGTGATGGTGCTGCTGCTGATGCTGCTGCTGCTGCTGATGCTGCTGCTGCTGCTGCTGTTGCTGCTGCTGCTGCTTTTAGGGTTATTTGGCTAAGGTTTCTTGCCAGGAGGTTTGGTGTCCCATGACAGCAGAGTTCTACCGAGAGTATCTTCGAGTGCGTCTAAACCCTAAACCCTAAACCCTAAACCCTAAACCCTAAACCATAGTCTAGTTATACCCTAGGCCGTGTCTCCACCGCCATCTCTGATTCGTAGATTGTCAAGGATTAAGGGTTTAGGGTTTAGGGTTTGCATGCCGGTTCATCTATGTGCGTCAGGGTTGGTTTAGTATGACTGTACATTATCCATTGTTTATTAATTAGGGTTTTATTGTTATGTAGAGCTATTGAAGGTTATTAAATGCTACTTAGGGTTGCTTAGGGTTTAGGGTTTAGGGTTTAGGGTTATTATGGATTATTTAGGGTTATTTAGGGTTATTTAGGGTTTAAGTTATTAAGGTTATTAAGGTTATTAAGGGTTATTAAGGGTTATTAAGGGCTGTTTAGGGTTTAGGGTTTAGGGTTTAGGGTTTAGGGTCTAGGGTTTAGGGTTTAGGGTTTAGGGTTTAGGTGTGTTGTTCAGGTGCCTCATGCGAAGCAGCGCAAGCTATGGGTTTGCAATCCGACGAAGTTGATGGCTTGCGAATTTTTGCTGCGTTTTCATGAAGCAAGAGGCGACAAAATAATTGTTTTTTCAGACAATGTCTTTGCTCTTCTTCATGTTGCAAGAGCTTTGAATAGACCCTTCATTTACGGCAGGGTTTCACCACCTGAAAGAATGGCTATACTCAGCAAATTCAAAGTATACCCCCCACAAACCCTAAACCCTAAACCCTAAACCCTAAACCCTAATGACTAAACATTTGGAAACCCTAATGAGTAAAAACTAGTAGTATATAGTAAGAAACCCTAATGAGAAAACCCTAATTATCAAACCCTAGTAAACCCTAATAACCAAACCCTAGTAAACCCTAATAAATAAACTCTAGTAAACCCTAGTAAACCCTAATCAATAAACACTTATCAACACTAGTAAACCCTAACAAACACTAGTAAACCTTAGTAAACCCTAATTAACCCTAAGCAATTCTAATAAACCCTAGTATAGCCGAATACACCCTAATAAACCCTAATAAACCCTAATAAACCCTAATAGACCCTTAGCAGAGAACAAAGCAACAAACCCCAAACCCTTACTCCTTTACCCTACACCTGATGCAAATTGGCAAACCCTAAACCCTAAACCCTAAACCCTAAACCCTAAACCCTAAACAAAGCGACAAACCCTAAACCCTTAACAAGTCGGTAAACCCTAAACCTTTTAACCGCACCTACGATAAAGGTTAGATTAACCGACGAAGGCGCGCTGCGCTGCGTTGCTGCTGGCGACAGTTGAGGGTTTAGGGTTTAGGGTTTAGGGTTTGTCGTGCAGAACGAGAGCACCTTTAATACGTTATTTCTATCAAAAGTTGGAGACAACGCAATCGATATTCCCTGCGCCAACGTCGTCATTCAAATCTCATTTAACTTTGCTTCCAGGTCAGCAGCAGCAGCAGCAGCAGCAGCAGCAGCAGCAACAGCAGCAGCAACTCGTTTCAAGAGAAGGTAGCCCTGAAGCTTTGCGTAGTTGGGTTGTATATACAGCTGGTGTATGCATGCATGCATGCATAGTTAGTATTTGTGTTATATATATATACATATATATATATATATATATATTTGCGTATTTATATTGTGTATGTATAAACTATATATATATATATATATACAGCTGTATGTATGTACGTACACCAGGCGTCAAGAGGCGCAGCGTTTGGGCCGCATTCTAAGAGCGAAGCCTCGAGGAGCAGAAGAAGAAGGAGGTTTTAATGCTTATTTTTACTCTCTTATCAGCAAAGACACTCTAGAGATGGTGTATGCAGACAAACGCCAGCAATTCATCATTGATCAGGTATTTAACCGTATTTAACCATACCCTATCATCAACCCTAAACCCTAAACCCTAATATCCAAACGCACACGGTTTACGGTCTAGGGTTTAGGGTTTAGGGTTTTACCTGTGTTTCTTTGTCTTTCAGCCGATAGATTTATGCATTTGCATGCGCTTGTGTGTGCAATATTCCCTTACATTCCGCATTAGGGTTTAGGGTTTAGGGTTTAGGGTTTAGGGTTTTGTGTGTAGGGTTATTCTTACCGGGTGCTGCACTGTCGGGATTTGCCTTTGGAGCAGCAGAGTTTAGTGTATGGAGATAAAGAAAGACAGTTAGAAATGCTGAGAGATATTTTATTAACAGATGATGCTGATAAAACTCTTGATGAAGACGATGATGAATCAGGCTACCTTCCTACAGATACTCAGCAGCAGCAGCAGCAGCAGCAGCAGCAGCAGCTCATGCTACATCAGCAGCAACCAGCAGCCAGAGTCGTACAAGGAGGCTTAGCTGGCATCTCGGGTAAGCAAACACCTTTATTATTTATTTATTTATTTATTTATTTTTTATTTATTTATTATTTATTTATTTATTTAATTTATTTATTAATTATTTATTTAATTATCTGTTTATTATTTCCTATTTATTTTTTTGGTTGTTTTTGCTTTTCTACTGTTTTTCCGATTTCTTTCTTTATTTGAATTTATTTCCATCTATTTATATATTTATATATTTATTTATTTTAATTTATTTTAATTATATTTATTTGTTTATTTGTTTAGGAATAGAGTCTTCAGGGCGCCCGGCTGGGCGAGGTAGAGGGACGAAGGCGACAGCAGAGATGCACCCTCTCTTCCGTCGTTATCATGGCAACAAACCCTAAACCCTAAACCCTAAACCCTAAACCTGACTTGAGAAGGTGCTTGTCTATGCCCAGGCACAGCGCCACAGCCGCACCTGCAGCAGCAG